CAAAGTGGTGTTTCGTGGCTTCACTCTGCGTTTTTCCCCGATGACGTTACGTGTTGGGCATCTTTTCACCGGCTCATTTGCCATCTGCGTTTCTTCTCTAGAGAGAGGTACTTAAGTCCTTGGCCCAGTTTTTGAATTGGGACTTTAGTTGTGGTGGTTGTGTTTTGATTCTGATGTTGGGGGGTCCTGGGCACATTTTGAAGGCAGACTGCATTAATTTCCTACGGCTGATAGGGGCCACTAAGGTACGACATATTGTGTCATTTGGTCAGGTCTCTGCTTAGAGTCTCAAAATCCCCAAATCCAGGTGTGGGTGCTGGGTCCCTTTCTGGAGGCTCCAAGGAGGATTGTTCATTGGGACCCTGGCTCATTTGAGTTGTTGGCAGAATTCAGTTCCTTGCAGATGTAGGACCGAGGTCTGCCTGTCTCCCTCCTGGCTGTCAGCTGAAGGCCATTCTCGGCTTCTAGATAGCGCCATATCCCCTGGCTCGTGGTCCCTTCCTCCATTTTCAAAGCCAGAAACAGGGTGGGCTGCGTTCCTCTCCTGCTTTGAATCTCTCTGCTGTCCCTTCTGCCTCATGTCTCCCGTCTCCAGCTGGAGAAAGTTCTGTGCTTTGAGGGGCTCGTGTGATTATAGGAGACCCACACGAATAATCCAGGATCATCTCCCATCTGAAGGGCCTTACTCTTAATCCTAAGAGCAAAATGCCTTTTTGCCACGGGAGGCACCCGGATCACAGGCTCCGGGAATTAGGACGTGGACGTCTTCGGCCATCATTCTGCTGATCCCCCAGAGCCGACAGGATTTCCTGAGAGAGGGGACCTGGGAATCTGGAGGGAGGAAGTACCCGCCACCTGAGACAGGAAACTCAGAGGGAAGGTGCAGGTTGTGGGCGGGAAGATCGGGAGGTTAGGTCTGGATAGGCTGCGTCTGAGATGCTTCTTAGGCGTCCCAGTGCAACCATTGGGAAAGCTGGAGATGAAAACGTGGGAAATGTCAGCAAATAGGTATCACCTGGGGGGAAAGTACAGGACCCAGAGCAGCCATCTGCTGTCCCAGACGTGGCCCTCTAACTGAGGTCCAAACAAGACGAAAGGCAAAGAGCAGCGGTCAGTGAGAACAGCCGAGCAGTGTAAGTTTCACTATTTACATCTTGCGCTGGCCCCTTAGCATCTGAGTTTGCGACCCCACCTTCGCAGGGGCTCACCTTCCAGGTGGCGAATGACCCAGGCCACACATACCTCGTCACCTGCACAGACCCTGTCTTGGGTTTATTTACTTATTTAATAGACATAGAAAATTAGAATCGTGGTAAAAATAATACACAACAAAGTTTAACACCTTAACTACTTTTAAGCATATAGTTGGTGTGTTAATTATATTTGCATTCATGTGAAACAGAACCCCAAAACTTTCTCATCTCCCCAAACTGAGACTCTGTCCCCATGAAGCACGGACTCCTCACCCCCCTGCCCCAGCCCTGGCTCCCACCATCTACTCTCTGTCTCTGTGGACGGGACTCCTCCGGGGACCTCCTGCGAGTGGGGTCGTGCAGGACGTGTCCTTCTGTGTCTGGCTTCTGTCACTGAGCACAGTATCTTCAAGGTCCATCCGTATTGTAGCGGGTGTAGAAATGTCCCTTCCTGGGGCGCCTGAGTGGCTCAGACAGCTAAGCGTCTGACTTCACCTCAGGTCATGATCTCACGGGTTCGTGGGTTTGAGCCCCGCGTCGGGTTCTGTGCTAACAGCTCGGAGCCTGGAGCCCGCTTCCGATTCTGTGTCTCCCTCTCTCTCTGCCCCTCCCCCACTCTCTCTCTTTCAAATATAAACGTTAAAAATTAAAAAAAAATTTTCTTTGAGTCATCCTAGTGGGTGTTTCATGGTGGTCGTCTTTGCCTCCTTACCTCTGTCTGCTTGTCATGGTCCTCTTAGTGTCCCCATTTCACAGGGAGTTGCTTTGAACCATTGCGCCCACGCCTAGAACCACCTCACTCGGATCAGCCCCGGACCCAGGGAAATTCAGGGTTCCCCCCAAATAGGACCTGTTGTACCATCCCAATAAGATGAAACATCCAGAACAGGCAAGTCCACAGAGACAGAAAGTGGGTTGCCAGGGGCTGGGGCCAGGGGAATGAGGAGTCCCCACTAATAGGCACAGGGTTTCCTTTGCAGGTGATGGAATGTTCTGGAACCAGACAGAGGTCATGGTTCCACAATACTACGAACGTACTAAATGCCACAGAATCGTACACTAAAAAGGGTTAAGAGGGTAAATTGTACATTGTGTGCATTTTACCGTAATAATTTTTGTTTTAAGTGGGAGGAGGGGATCTGCCTGCTTTGCAGCGGGAAGATGTAAGTCCCAGTTGGGGGTGCGTTGGGGGTTAGCGCCGGAACCCGCACTGGGCCAGAACATCACTCGCCTGGCACCCCATAGGGACCCTGGGCCCATCCATCCGTGGAATCCGCGGTTCCCATCTCATGAGAGACCACGGAGGGTGGGTCCATCGCTCATTGGGTTCCTTTTCTTTATTAGGCGAAGTTCGTGCCTTTGCACGAGTCACTAACCTGGATGATTTTCTGCAGCTGTCTGTCATTATCCACCACAAAGATGTCCATCTCCGAGCTTTCGGCGATGACCTGGCAGGTTTTTGGAGAGTTGGTGGACAAGATGCCAACGGAGAAGCCTCTGGAAGCAGAACCCAAGAAGTGAGGACCCACTGGTGAATCGGAGGGCTCCCAGGAGGCCGGTTGTGTCATAGGAGAGACAGTCCCTCGGGTGGGGCATAGAGTATGGCAGACATCCCATGACACCCCCAATATGCCTTGTTTGAAGGTGGGACTCAGGGACAGCTTGGGCTTGGACCCTGCCTTCCAGGGGTTCCCCAACAGTCTGGACAGGTAGAGGGAGGTCTAAATGCTGGGGAGCCCTGGGGAGGCTTCTTGGAGGAGGGGTCATGGGAGCTGGGCTTCACAGGATGTGTTTGAGTTCAACAGGTAGAGAGTGTCGGAAGGGCGAGCTGGCTGGTGCCCAGGGCTGGGCCCTTGACAAGTCCCACTGAGCACAGACCAAGCAGGAGCCTTAGTTTGCTCCCTGAACTGGGGACTCTTCCGTGAGACCCCTATGGATTCAAGAGCGGGGGGGGGGTGGAAGGAGGGGGGAAGAGCCTTTGCTGGGCGGATGGCTTCCTGACTCCGTGTACCCCAGGGCGATACCTGGTACCTCTTACCCAGCCATGATAGCACCAATGCTCGCGATGACCCACTCCTCGGAGTTTAACCCCATGATCCCCACGCTGTGGAAGCGTTCCAGGCCCAGCTGGGAAAGGAGGCCCTTGTGAGGCACAGGGGGCTCACCGGCCACTTGCCCCCACGTGCCCAGGAGCCTCAGGCTGAGAACCTTGGGCTCTCTTTTCTCTGTTGACCATTGGTGTTTCTGTTTGCTAATAGAATAGCCCATCCCCCCCCCCATTACAAGCTACCATATATATTCACGTGGAGCAGGGGTTCTCAACACGGATGATTCTGCCTTCCAGGTGACATTGGGCAACATCTGGAGACATTTTTGGGGAAGGGGACAGTGCTGACATGGAGTGGGTGGGCACTGGGGTTGCTGAGAAACATTGTCTAACGTACAGGACAGACCCCTCCACAAAAGAATGATCCAGCCCCAAATGTTGATAGATGGAGATTGAAAAACACTGAGAAAAGACAAACAAAATGCCCGCCCCCGACATTTTTATGAATAAATATTTGATAAAATCTGGGCAGTACTTATCCCTATATGATCATAACCCACCATTGTTCGTAAAACCATGCATCCTATTTCCCCAGCCTTTAAATATTTCTCTATGGTGTCAGATATAACACCTCTATGATATTGTATTGTAGAGAAATGTCATAATTTAGCGACTGCCTCCCCACCCCGCTTTACTGGTTGATACTTAAGTAAGATCCTTTCTCCCGTCTACTTTTATTAGATACAATATTGGGGTGAACATCTGCATGACCCAAGCTCTGGATTCCCACATGATCACTTGTGCTGACATCTGGATTGACTTAAACATTCAAGATGATACACACTCGCCCGTTCCGGCAGGACCAGGTGATGCCATCCCCAGGTGGGTCGTTCCCGTCCACTCCAGACTCTTGGGCACCACTGCCCACTCCTAGTGTCCTCGTCAGGCAGGCACGACACACCCAACACGGGCCCGAACAAAATTGCTGACGTTACCCACCCCCCTCTGCCGGCCCCGCCCTCCGCAATCTCAGTCAGTAGCAGTCCCTCCAACGTGCACTGGCCAGAAATCTTGATTATCTTCAGTGCCTTTCATTCTCTCTGACACCCAATCCGTCAAGAAATGATGTTGGCTCTGCCTTCAGAATCTGACCACCTCCTATCCCCTCCCCGGGTACCACACAGGTCTCCAAAACGTCTTCATCTCAACCTCCACGGGTCTCTCTTTTTCCACGCAGCCTGTAAGCAACCAACTCTGGGCGCATCCCTCCTCTCCCAGCCCTCCATGGCTCCCACCTCACTCCTGGCAAAAGCCCCACAAGACCCAGCAAGACGTGTCCCCGTTACCCCCTGCCCTCATCACCTCCCTCTCTCCTTTCCACTCATTCTGCTTCAGCCACATGGGCCTCTTTGCTATTCAGTCAACATGCATCGCACTGTTCTGCCCCAGGGCCTTTGCACATTTGTTCCCACTACCTGCAACACTTATCCCCAAATACTCACTTGGCTCCCTGCCCCCCACCAAGTTGTTTAAGCCTTTGCGAAAATATCACTCTCAGAGAGGCTCTCACTGGCCACCATATGTTAAAATTTCCACCCCCACCCCTAGCTCATCTACCCCCTTCCCTGCTTTAGTTTTCTCTGGACCACTGTCTACTTCACACATCCTTGTTTATTACATTGACTGGAGAAGTCCCTTGAGGTCCCTTATCCTCTTTCCTAATCTGATAGATGGGCATTCATTCATTGAAGACATACCCAAGGGGCTGGTTCTGTTCTAGATTCTGGGGGCCTGCAATGAATGAGGCAGACTGGCCCCTTGCCCTCATAACTGACCAGCTAGACAAATAAATTATACAATCATACTACCAGGTGGCCATGAAAGCTGGGCAGAGAATTTTCAAAGGAGCTGTGATAGACATTAGTGTGTGTGTGTGTGGGGGGGGGTGAGTTTGGGGACCCAGGGTGATCAGGGATGACCTTGCTCAAAAGATGAGACATTGCAGAAGAGACACATTAACAGTAACAACCATAAGAATAAATGCTGAGTAATGCTTCGTGCGAGCCAGGAGCTATTTGATATGTGTCCACTCACTGAATTCTTGTAGCAAACCTTTGTGCGAGGTGCTATGATGTTTTATTTTATGTATTTGCACACAAAAATCCTAATATAACAATGTTTTATACTAAATTCAATACAAATAAAGTATAAAATGGATATGGCCATATAGAACTTTCCTACTTTTAATATTATATATAAT